CGCTCCGGCGAAGACACGGCCAGATCCGGAGCTTTGGGAAGCAGGAAAAGACTCCATCCCCTTCCCCCAGGGGTTGGGGGGGTGGGTGGGTGGGTGACAGAACTCGGGGTGCCCCCCTCCCAAGGCTTGGTGTTGGAAGAGCGAGGTTTTGTTGGGGTGGGAGGGGGTTTTAGGGGATGATGGTGATGCTCTTCTGCATCACGGGCATCCGAAATGTCACCCCGGGGATGGAGGCACCAAGCGAGCAGTCCCCAACCCAACACAGATGTGACAGTGGCCTCTGTCACTCGGGGTGGCTTCGGCAGCCACCCGGCAGCTCCAGCCTCCTCCTCCCATCCCTGTCAAAGCCATCGGTGATACCCAACCCTGGAAAAGGTTATTCCCACCCAGCCAGCCCCTCCAAGGGGGTTTATTTTCCCCCCCCACCCCACAACCTCCCGAGCATCGCTCCTGGGTCCAGATTGTCACCCAGAAAGGGACACAGTAGGGATGGAAGGTGGGTTTCTCACCCTCCTTATGCCCATCCCGTGGATTTTCTTGGTGATGTGCTCCTCTTTTTGGGAGAAGATTGGGGAAAGCCAGGTGGGGGTGCAGACCCCCATCCCGGGCACTTTCCAGGGGATGTATCCCAAGATCCGGACCAGCAGAGTGGGGTGATGCCACCCCTTGCTGGATGGGGCCACCCCTTGTCCCCCAGCAGCGCCTGGTGGCAGGTTTAATTGACCACGAAGAGAAGGGACCCCTTCAACGGAGATTCCCCCCCCCCATCCCTCCATCCTTCATTTATTTCCGCGCTTTAACGAACGGCTCATTTAAGGCTTTGGCCGTTGGGGGAAACCACTCGCCCCGCGCCCACCAGCAGAAGGTGGCCTGATCCTTCCCCCCCCCCACCCCATTATGGGGTGCAGGATGGTGGGACCCCCCCCCCCGGGGGGGTTATTTCGAAGCCCAGCTGCTGGCAGAGATGCTCCAGCAAGGGCTGAATTCGGGCAAATCCACCCCAGACCTGGCCCTATAGGTTAGGGAATTATATAGGGGGTTTGGAGCGTGGAGAGAAAAAAAAAAATATAAATATATAGATTTTTCTGCTTTCATTTGCACTAATTCTTTAAGGTTTGGAGCCCGCGTGCAGGCAACTGGGATGCTCGGCCGCGGGGATGCTGGGGGACCTGGTGGTGGGGGATGCTGGAAAAGGGGGTGCCCTG